CATTGCGCACAATTTTGCGCTTATTGCTCATCAGCGTGAGGTAAAAAGCGTAACATTCATCGAAGGCATTGTCGCATTATATCTGTACCTAATTCATCAATAACTTTACCAAGACAAAATAGATTAAAACTTTCAATCCTAACATTGTCTAGTCATGACTGCGCCGAAAATGAATCGTTCTTTTAATTACCTATCACATTTTAATTGCGTTTTTATTCTCGGTACAAAAATACGACGTAAACAATACCGGGAAAAATTACGATTTGTCACACAGTGCAATGATTTCATACAGAAAGTCAAGATTCAATCGTACCAAGAATTGCTTATCGGATGACGTGTCATAAGACAATTGACGAAATTGTGTACCTTTTCGTACTTAGATTAGAATATTCGTCACCCTTTTATACCTGTGTACTATTGCAAACAGTTCAGTAATAAAATTTCCACATTGTACACGCTTGGTTGGTTGCTTGCTTAGTAGGACAGAGATCATGCGATGTGCGTAATAAGTGTTGCAGTCTAACATTTAGAAGTAAACAACGTTCTGTCGTTTGGCTGTGTCGAATTAAACGTGTGTACATATTACTGTTAAAGGTAAGAATATCAATACACAGAATAATGTACACGTACTAGGTACCATGAATAGGGAGTCGCATTTTATTACATTTTAAAACTACACCCACCGTTTCTTATTCACTGTTTTAACCAAATACAGTGAACGCCATTGCCTTTTCATGTTTTTCAGTGGGTTTATCGTTACTGCCGAATCTGGTTTGTGTGGGAGTGAACTAACTGAAACTAATTAGACACTGGACCATGTTTTATCGAACGTGTTATCTTCGTGATAATATTCTATGTTGTTGGTTACTAAAATAATATCGAACCAAAATAACGAGGCTACGAAATACTGAGCCCGATGGAGACTGGCCATCTATATCGCCATCCAGTTTGTTGAGAATTTTAAATTTATAATTTTATAAACATAATAAAATACGTCAATATTGATTCATGATAAGAATTAGTTGAGGAACTTTGCACTTTGTCTGTATACGAATACCTAACCAGAGACTATAACTCGAAAGAGGATTGTTGAGTCTTATTACACAGTGCAACCTTAACATAACGACATCCCCGATTTAACAAATTCTTCATTATCCTTATTACATTATCAAAATATATCAGTACATTGCGAAGATTTCTTGCGAACAACTTCTTTATAACGAATTTTCAACTATCAAAAATAGTTTAATAGTGTAAATACCTACCATTTTTCCCTACCTATGCTGATACTATTTCAGCTTCTCCTTGAAGTGTAGGTGAGCTCACGGGGCTCAAACCGGGAGTGTTGCTAATACTGGCCCAAGCAAGAGCAGTGCTTCGCAGAATCTACTACCGGCTCGGAAACGCGACCCACTGAGAAGATCCGGCGAGAAACTCAGTGGGCTGTACCTACCGCGTTTAAATAGATATACATATGTAGAAAATATACACAGGCAAAGAGCAAATAAAACCTATTCATCACACAGTGTGTGTTGCCCGATGTGCAAATCACTGAGTCGTCGGTCAGTCAGTTAATGTTACTATCTAGCACGTTGAGCCAGTCTCGCTGAGTTTCTCGCCGGATCTTCTCAGCGGGTCGCGATTCCGATCCGGTAGTAGATTCATTCGCGAAGCAGTTACTCTTGAGTTGTTAGGTCTCCTTCGGAGGCGCTCGGGTAGCTGTTAGCAAATTCCACCCCTCCTGGCTGAGCCTTTGCTCGCCCACCTGTCCTGGTGAAGCTGGAAAGGCCTCCGGGCCACCAGTAATCCTTCAATCATAAAAAAAAATAGCACGTTGAGCCTATGAACGATAAAATTTGGACAATAGATAAGCATCTCCTTAAAAGTAGGTAAGCCATACATTGTTTAGTTAGCGAATTGAACTGTCAGTCTACGGAATACAAACCGTTGATTGTTGAATTGTTTCATGCCGCCCACGGTGTAATTAATAACCGTTCTCCTTTCATATAATAAACCATTAAGATTGTTTTGTACGAATTTATGTGGCGACGTAGGAAATGAACACGTTTTAATGATCTCCTGTTTTAAATTATGTCCATAAACGCTGAATCTTAGTTAATAATAAATTTATAAATAAAAAATTTCATTACCCAGAAAGGCAATTGGTGGTAGGACCTCTTGTGAGTCCGCACGGGTGGGTAGTTGGGTACCACCACCCTTCCTATTTCTGCCGTGAAGAAGTAATGCGTTTCGGTTTGAAGGGTGGGGCAGCCGTTGTAACTAAACTTGGGATCTTAGAACTTATATCTCAGGGTGGGTGGCGCATTTACGTTGTGGATGTCTATGGGCTCCAGTAACCGCTTAACATCAGGTGGGCTGTGAGCTCGTCCACCCATCTAAAGCAATAAAAAAAAGGCAAACCAAACTAAAATGGTGTCTTTATGAATTGAAGTAGTATTGTACAGAGCTCTAAGAAAATAAATTATTAATAGCATAAGTTTTAATGTCCTAAGTAACTCTTTTTGCTGAGGAAAAAAGTATAAGTTTCATTAATTATTCAGTCATGTTAGAAACAAAAACCCTCGTGTGTGACTGAACTTATTTTTAATACATATGAAGGCAGATGAAAATAATAGGATGATACATAATAACAAAAAACCACCGGACATGTGTCAAGTCGCAGATCTAATCTGATTTCAATGTAATTTTATTTATTCTCCGTCATAGGATGATACGACTAGATTTGTATCCCTCACGTAACTGATACATACATTTATGTTTTTTTTTTCGTAATATATTTTATCATTAATTACCAATTTATACCGTAAACATAAGCTAAAAATTTTTGAGTTCTTAGCGCGGATAAAATACGGCAACAATTTTTTAATTTATTTTTTATTTTTTGCTAGTGGACCCGGCGAACTTTGTCCCGCCATACGGTTTGTTTCAAACACATCAACCGGTCAACTCCAAAATTCTACTTTAACCATAGAATATATTACGTTTAGCTGTCAGTTGCGTTTTGTTATTCCATATCAGTTGCGTTTAGTTATACCACGTTTCATGTCGCGTCCTAGCGGAACGTGATAAAAAGTATCCTATGTCCTTCTCCTGGTTTGAAGCTACCTCCTCACCAATTTTCAGCCAAATCAGTTCAGCCGTTCCTNAACCGGTCAACTCCAAAATTCTACTTTAACCATAGAATATATTACGTTTAGCTGTCAGTTGCGTTTTGTTATTCCATATCAGTTGCGTTTAGTTATACCACGTTTCATGTCGCGTCCTAGCGGAACGTGATAAAAAGTATCCTATGTCCTTCTCCTGGTTTGAAGCTACCTCCTCACCAATTTTCAGCCAAATCAGTTCAGCCGTTCCTTAGTTATAAATAGTGTAACTAACACGACTTTCTTTTATATATATAGATTGCTTAGATGAGTGGAAATTTACAATTAACAATTACTTTACAGTTATTTTCGTGTCACGTGTTTCAATGATGATTTTCACAATTGAGAACGTCTGTTATAAGAAGATGTGATGATTCTTTATATTTTCGAAAGTAACGTAATCGCTTTTTTGCGCTGTTTTTATTTTTTGCAATTGAATACGAACAAGCGGCTTCACAGACACTCAAGTCCGTGCCATTAACATCGTTGAATACAACAGTAAGTGCATAACTAATATGCCGTCGACCGTGAATACTTGCAATTCTCTTTGTAACAATTGCGTTTAATCTTCGGATACTGAAAATACAGAGCGGCATTGGAACGGGACAAGTTTCAGCTTGCGACTTACTCGCTTTTTTTTCCTACCTATGCTGATAGCTTTGAGAGGCTATATCAGCGCTACCCTGCCCTAGCGTGTAGGTGAGCTCTCGGGGTTCAAAGAGGTGTTGCTAACATTAGTTCTATCTAGCAAAAGCAGTGCTTCGCAGAATTTACCACCGGATCGGAAACGCGATCCACTGAGAAGATCCGGCGAGTAACTCAGCGGGGTGTACCTATGGGTTAATTCGCTCGTCGAGCCCTTCGTCGCAAGCGACGTGTTCGTCGAGGACGGTGACCGGTGTTTGTGGTACCTAAAAGCACCGTTAATGAATCGGGAGGATCCGTAATGACGTGTTTTGGGCGACGTCGACAATACTCACCTCAATTAAGGAAAAGAAATACAAGAATAAAACGTTACACGTACCACCATCCGTTATAGAAACGGACATTAGCGTTTGAATGGCTAGTCAGCTAAGTTAACGGTGTGTTTGTCTTCAGGCTTTCGATTCAAAGAACTCTGCTGCTATTTAAGACCCGATTATTCGGGTAGATTTCGAAAGCGTGCAATGTCACGCATAAAGATGACACGTCTTAATACGAATTTGCAATTTATTTGAATGGAAACAGTAAATACATGAAAACTAAAGCATTTATTTTTGTGAGAGTTTTGTTCCTAATGCTAAAGAAATTGCCTTATGTGAAATCCCTGCAAATCTGTATCAAGTTTACGTTTAGATTTTTTTTTCAATTGTCATTTAAAATTATAATAATGAAATTAAATTATAAAATTATAATAATTAAACTGTAGAATACGGAGTGTAAGTTAAGTTTGTCCCGAGATTTTATTACATGCATTATTAATCATTTTCTTGTTTTAAAATCAGATCTGACTAGATTTTATGTTATCCCAACGTTAATACATTTTACAACACTAAAAAATAGATAGCTTAATCTCTACTTATTATGAATAAGTTTTTGCCGTTCGTCTTGTACTTAAAAAACTTGTGGATCTAATATAATTGAGTGTGGTCCGCTGGGATATTATACAGGCTGTGGGAGACCACCACTAATAAGGACAGTTTTTGGGCCATGACTACTGCAATATTACTAATTACTTTTCCTTCATCCATCTGGTTCTTAAATTCCCATCTAAGTCCAACAGAAACTCTTATTTCCCCAAAACAATGTCTCACATTAGTAAGTAACCTACAAGGGTTTTTTTTCTTATTTCCACAGATAAATAAAAAAACAAAATGACTTCAACACCATTCAACGTTGGCCTCAATGACGGAGCTCGTCTATCAAGCAGGGTGCTCCGCCCCCCTGGTGGTGGTCACACTAACATCTTCGACTCCGAACCGGAGCCACCGAGGACCGGACGCCGTGCCGTTCCACCAAGCGCAACGAGCACTTTCAGCCACGGTAAATTGTTGTTGTTATAGCAATATTCATTTCCTGAACCGGAGTTGATTAAAAAGGTCAAATATTGTTTTCCTATCACGTAATACTCAAGCGATGACTGCAACTCTACACGTCATGATGTGTCGCCATTATAATATTTAATTATGTGTCATTCCAAAAGTCTATCAGAACAGTTTCAAAACTTATCTTTATTAAATTTTTAGACCAGCCGTCCTCGCCCCCTTCGCTGAGCATTTAAAATTAACATAATTATTTATTGTCATTATTATTAGGGAGTCCAACACTCATATAAATATTAGCCTATCCATTAAGTACATGTATTTTCTACATGGATACCAAGTTTCAAGTCAATCGGATGCATGGTTCAGTATTTATCCGTAAAAACACATCTATAAAAACCACTGTAGATTTATAGATTTGGGATTGTGGGTGTATGAAATAAAAATATGTAATTAAATCAACACTATTAAATAACATTATGCAACACTGATGAAAAATTGGATAAAAAAACTAAATTCATTTAATCGTCATTTTGCTATGAAAAAATCTGACTAAATGCCTAACTGACTCTTTCAGGACAAGGAGACGAGCCGAAAGCGACCAACGGCACTTCAGTAGCGACCAACGGTCAGTCCACTCCTAAGGAGAGTCCGGAGCCACAGATCCAGCAGGAGGCCCCTGCTGCAGCAGAGCGCGCTCCCAAAGCCGACAGTCCAGTCCGAGCGGCCCCGGAGCAGCCCCGGGCCGAAGCCCCAAAGCGCGTCCGGGTCCCCCCCGGCGGGTTCTCCTCGGGCTTGTGGTAAACCGAACCGCACCCGTTGGCTGTGAGTCTGTACAATCAAATCTTCGATTTTCATTTAACTCACATTATGTCACAAATATGTATCGAGGCTAAGTTTTTCTTGAGGTACGCTTCCGGTTGCCCTTTTAAAATTCTGCAATTGTGATCAAAGATGCTCAAAACAATGTGTGTTTCCGATTTTGCCTTTTGAAATGATCAATGTTGTATTGTCTGCTAGTGATGCTAGAATTGGTTGTATTCGCTCATAGTTTAACCAACTAAGTTTAAAAATCTCAGTCACGCGAGCTGCCCGTCTTCCTATTTTACTTTCGCCTAAAGCAATTTGTTTTAAATTTTAAAGCTAGGAGGGTAAGGTTGTGATTGTGACTAGATTTTTGTAACGTTTCGCTCTAAGCCTCGCCGGGACCAGCGCTGGGTTTGGAACATGTTATGAAATGTGCCTTTGTTTAAATGATTTTGGTTACTGAGGGTTTTGACTGGTCCTTGGGCTCTGTTGCTGATAGGACGTGTAGCGACTCGACCTTGCTTGCTTGATGCAGTATTTTACCCACAATCTCGATATGTGTACCAAGTTTTACATGAAACTTATTATAAAGTACGCAATACACGTGTTTGATTACTGTTTGTTGATAGCGGTCACTACTTAGGGTCAAAGTTGATTCAAAACTGAGAGTAATTGAATGGATTTGAAGATGTTGTGTGATGGTGTGGCGTCGCTCGCATACTCTATGTTCTAATTATTTACTGGGAACACTTTTAATTAGTATTTTTGTCATTAAATAGGAGATTATTTAAAATTGCATTATATTTTAGCTTTTTTATTATCTTCGCTCACTTGTGTTTAATTTTTAGGTTTTTTTTTGTCTATGTCACAATATTTTCAACTAAAGACTATTTCGGCCAAATTTAACTGATAGCAAACATTTTAATATTACAATTTTAAATCCCAAGTTTGTATTCTTTTTTTCAATTCTTCATTTTGAGATTTTTGTTTTTTATCATAATGTAAATTGTAGCTTTTGTAAAACAGACTGAAATGTATGTGCCTGTTTCAAAAACTGTGTTGTACTTAAATTTGAAGCATTTGATGTTTTGCATACTTGGTGTTTCTGCCTACTCCGGCAAAAGCGATTTTATGTATAATGAATAAAACAATAATGATTGTATTTTTATATGAATTACAATACAATTCGAATATGGTGTTTTATTTAATAAATCATTCTTTTAGAACAACATTACACTGACTTATGTTTAGGACTTAATATGACATAAAGCACTCTTTTTGACATGAGATTTAACTCGAAAGGTTTAGAAAACGATACAATGCAATGATGAAATTACAAAATTGTGTCAATTTAGAGTAAACATTTGAAGGTAAGAATTTTTTTGAAGGAAAACTGACTTGTGTTCTAAAACATACTGGAGAAATGGCGACGCAGGTTGCAGGAGAGTGTTCGCGTAAAAATCAGCAGATTCAAACCTGAACACCTGTTGTGTGATTTTGGCGGTCTCCAATTTTACACCCATTGCTCTCGACGGAGCACCTTTGCCAGTACGTCAAGACTTCCGATAAGGTCTGATATTCAAAGCAACAGCAAACTGGATCATACTGTGAGGCACAATTTGCAGGATGGATGAAATGGCGGCAGGTCACGGGCACCACGTGTGACTCGCATTTCGCTTCCTCTGAAAGGGAAGATATATGCCTTAAATCAGGCCTCCCGTCTACTATTGATCAGTTGTTGGACCGCTAAAGCGGTGGATGAAAGGCGATTGCATGCAGCAGAGATGCGAATGTTGCGATGGATGTGTGGAGTAACGAGAATGGATAGAATACGGAATGAATATGTTAGAGGAAGTTGGAAATTTGCATCCGTGACGGAGAAGTTGAGAAGTGCGCGTTTGGGATCGTATGGTGAATAATGGGACTAAATGACAATGAGGTTTGTGAGAGGGTTTTAACTATAAATGTGGAAGGCTTCAGAAGAAGAGGTAGACCTGAGAAGAAATGGATGGATTGCGTGAAAGACTATATGTGTAAGAGGGGAATGAGCGAACAAATGGTATGTAATAGAGGAGCATGGAAGGAGAAAACATGTTGCGCCGACCCCAGGTGATTGGGAGAATGGCAAGATAATGATGATGATGAATAGAACGAAATTTTTTGATTAGAATTGTTGCTTTGAAAAGTCTACCATAGATGTTAACGTGAATGTCTGTACTAGGTTCAAATACCTGTCTTACAAATCTCCAAGTTTCGGTCAGTGCTTACGTTATGAGCGATGTCACCAGTCCCCTTATGTGTATTATCTATGGATGTCACAAGCTGAGTTGAGAAACCATATGAGTAGCGTTATCTTATAAAATATGTAAGTGCACTTTGCGTGTGTATAATATTAATGTATGTTCGGGGTATTGGGTTTTTTTAAATTAATTAATGTAGTTTACGAGGAGTGATTTCTCAATATATTTTGAAACTGAACTACACACGAGTTGGAGGTGTGTCCATAATTTTTGAAACGATAACATTATTATATTGTCCGGCTTAAATACACTACCTAATCATATTATATAGTATCTACGTCAAAACTTGAAAGATGGTGAGGGTACTGCTACTGAATACGAAGAGCGACATCTGCCCGAGGGTCTGGAGCCGCCTGTCCACTGTCACCCAGGAGCGTCTACCTGGTATCTTGGTAACAGGAACAGAAGCTCGACGCCTCAGTACGATTGTATAATAGATGTTCCCTTAAAGCCTCAAAGCATAACCGCTTCATGGTAGAACTGGGCAGGATCGCTCTACCTATCCGTCTGGGTTTTTTTTTAGGGTTGAAGAACTATTTGTGGTCCGGAGGTCTTTCCAGTTTCACCAGGGCAGGTGGGCGAGCAAAGGCTTAGGCAAAAGGGGTGGGATTTGCTAACAGCTGCCCGACCGCCTCCGAAGGGGACCGAACAACTCGCTGAGATGATCTGGCGAGAAACTCAGCGAGCTGATGCATGGGTTAGGTTGCACGTCGGACTTTTTGTCGAGTTCGACGAGTACGGTTACCGATGTCCCTGAGCCTGCTCCTAGTGTTAGAGCTGAAGGCGTCTAAGGCAAAGGTTATTGGGTCTGAAGGATCCTTAAGGACCTGTCTAGGGCGTCGATGGTGACTGGCTCCTGCATGATCAGGATTCGGGGAGTAGTCAGCGGCGGCAACGATAAGGCGATTATCATGACGTCCGACCCGTCAGTCCGCAATACGTAGGTACGCAATACGATAAATCCCATAAATGACAGCTGATGTGCAGTAAAATATCGCAATAGACTAAACACTCTATCTCACCCGCTTGAACAGTTGCTCTCAATGTGTCTGGCAAGATGTAAGAACCATTAAAACTGTCTGGCTATTGGGGTAACATATTTTTATAAGTCCCTAAGTAACATATATAAAATTCAGCTTTTATAGTATAACGAAAGTATAATTAAAGTTTACGGGTGTCCGGCAGGGGGTAGGAACTGTAAAAAGTGTCCGGCAATGGATATCGTGATTTCTAAAGATATTCTGGAGTAAATAATAAAAATAAAAAAACTTTATACTTTAACGAATTTAAGGTACTATTTTATATACCTTTACTGCCTGTTACCTGCCCAAGGAACCACAACCGGAACTCTATAATCGCGGGTCGTTCTTACCTGTGTTGGAGACATACACAGGGAAACTTTTAGCTTTTATAAAATAACGAAGGTCTGGCTGTCGTGGGCTCTTGGGCTATTAAGTGGACTGCTATGATGATGATAATACAGGGTGGCCCATAAGTCCTTTGAAAAGTAAAATTTGAATAAAACGAAAAGGGCGCGCGTGAGCGGTGCAGGGGAAGCGGGGGGAGTAACTTCGGTTTCTGGGAATTTAGTAGACTTGCGCAAAACATCACTTCCCAATGTAATGTGATATGACATCACTTTTACAGATAGGTGATATTACTCGAAAACATTACACATCACTCTTAACATTACTCGGTGCGTTCAATAGATACTGTGACGACGAATACATTGTATCTATACACCCGAATCATTACCTAAGTGATGTGTTGATACACATCACTTAGGTAATGATTCGGGTGTGTCATTACAGTAGTGTATTACAATACAAAGTATGAACTTTGTATTGTAATACACTGTTATATTACTTGACAGAGATTGACTTATTTAATAATATAATAATTTTATTTTTTACTTAATATAATTTATTGTGGGATGAACGGATTTCATATGGCGACTTAGACTGCAATTTGAGCTCGACAATAATGTTAATATACGAGAGCAGTAGATGCATTGTTTCGGCGCGATATCCTCAAAGTGCATCCAAGGAGGACTGTACTTTCATTTAGACGCCGTTATTTCTTTCACTTANTTAGATAATACTGCAATGTCACTTTTCACTTTATCAAAGGCGGTTATTATCTTATTCTTTAGTTCTTCGGCACTTATTGTCTGTGTGTTATAAACTAGCGATTTAATTCGCCCCCACAAAAAAAAGTCGAGAGGCGTCAAATCAGCTGATCTAGGAGGTCACTGACCGAAAAGACATAGCGAAATACGGGAGATATTTTATTTGCACTATCACTTGACCTCTTATCGATAAGGTGGACGCGGCGTGACTGACTTGTCAAAAATATTTTGTTGACTTCGTTGTTTAGATTTTTCTTTGATCACCGCCGACGCAACCGCGTCGCCGCTAACATCGGGATTAGCCTGCCGTTTATTGTAAGAATATTAAGCCGACGAAAGAAAGGGATAGTAATTATTTTTGTATTACGTGGTTTTCTTTTATGTATTGTAGTGTTGCTGTGTGCCGGCGGTCGCTGTTGGTATTGTGTGCATAGGTATTTTATTTTGTAATAGACTATTAGCTTTGAAATAAGTATCAGATTTATTTAATTAAATAATATATTTTTTTACTAATTTGATATTTCATTTTAAAAAGTCTTAATACCCTGACTTACGTTCCATTTTCGTTTCTATGAACTGTTTAGCTAGCTGTGTAGGGTAACTGTAATTTACTTAGTTTTAACTAAATTTTAGAAAAAAAAATTGGTACATAAAAAACAATCAAAATCGATCCAGATTCCGATTCTGAACAAATTACTTTCAGGGTGTGCGTTAATTATGTTACATGTTGTATAGATATCGTACTGAATTTTTTCAGGTGTAAGGTTTCATGTATTTCCCAGCCTAGAGAGGAAACCTGAACGTTTTAAGGCATGGGTTCAAGCAATTGGAGGTAAACTGGATACCCCAGAGGACTATGAATACTACAGAAACCAACGCATATGTGATCGGCATTTTGCAAAAGAAAATAAAAACCGATACAATCGTGTGGACGCTTTGGGAGTTCCATCGCTTCATTTAAGCGGTAAGAAAAGTTACTTACTGTGTTACTGTAGTAACTAGTTTTAACAGATATATAGATTCTTTTTACTTTTACAGAAACTGATCTGGGAGAAAGAGAAAAAAATTCTTTAAGAGAAAACTTTGCCTCCTCAGTACAAGAGACATTGAATTTGGATGTTATTGAACCTACAACTTCCAATGTCCCAGTTGAAGGTTTGTAAATCTTTGAACAAGAAAAATTGGAATTAATCATAATCATGATTGAACTATAATAATAAAAACAATGCAGAGAATCTAATTTGAAATTTAGTTATTAATATAATTTTATACCTATGTATCTTGCACTTGAGTTTTGAAGCTTAGTGTATGAAAGGGTGCATAAGGGTTTATTTATTTAAATATACTTAATTGTACATCAAGATACTTAAAAGTAGGACAAACAAATTATTTAAATGTCACACTGGGCGAGCCTTATAGCTTAATTTATATTTATACAGGGTTACAGGCTAAGTCAACCTATTCCCGTTAAGGGCCTGTAATTTACATCGTTTCTGACTGACTTGACTATGAAACGCCCTATCATAAAACTAACCAATTTAGAGATATTTGAATTTAAATACAAAAAAAAACCCAATTTTTTTGCTATCAGCTTAGATATTTTGAAATGCATAAGTTTAATTATTATTATTACTTGATTTTTACTTGTAAAATAAAATGCCGTATGACCCCTATATCCAATATTGTATGTAAAATGAATAAATAACTCACAGGCGATTAAAACTTATAAACACGAATAAAAAATAGATTTTTTTTTTCTTTCA